TCGATAATGAACACAAATTGGACTATGAATAATAGTAGTTACATTCCCATGATCAAATTAAGCAACAAAGCACAAAGTAAGATTAATTATGCTCTCTAACACAGTTGGAGTTACTAGCTTTAATTACTTTATCTAAGATGTGATTAATCCTAGCTCCATTTATTTAATGATCATAAACAATTAGGTGACAAATTCATGCAATTTGAATGATCAACTATCACACTGAATTTGATTTATAAGTAATATAAACTAGAACTAAAAGATGTTAGGGTTTTAATTATCAAACACAAGTAAAATCAACATAAAGCATCCAATAATTGAAATCAACACAATAGGATTAGGTTCATCTTCACCAAACAGAAGTATAAGGTTTTTAGCCTCTCATAGTAGCAGAAAAATACACAAAATCCATGCAAATTAGACTAGACATGAGTATATTTAGCAAACCGAATGGATCTAGGTAAAATTCTTCTAAATCTTCTTCAACTCTTGAGCTCCAATTGGTTCTCGATCTTCTTCTGAGTTTCCAGAGGTTTTTAGTCTCAATTTTCTTTAGAAAATTGGCATGATATCCTTCCATTCGACCTAATATTCAGATATTTATAGTTTCCATATAACTGATCACCACGCCGTGGTCTTCGTGTATATCTTGTATTCTCCAAGTCGGCTTATTGGTTGGAATCTTCCGTTTACCACGGCGTGGTCCTCTGTCTTCAAGTCTATTTTTTCTTCTTTTTGTCCTAGCTCCCGTTTCCCTGCTTCCAACTCCTTTTTTTGCTTCCTTTTTGTCCTTAGCATTTATTTGCAAATACAAAACAAATTTCAAACATAATAGGTACATTTTGTTCAAAACTAAGCATAATTGTAGCTAAAAGTATTAGAAATATGCATGAAACATATGATTAAATATGCACATATAAGCTAGACTTGTCGCTCCCTACTTTTTTTGAGATTACTGATTTGTTTGCTTGGATCGATTCTTACTCAGTTGCTAGGCAAGGGCGATTGATTATGGAATTGGTGATTATGACGGTGCTTTGGGTGATTTGGTGTGACAACCCGAAACTTTTTCCGTTTCCGTTAATCAACTCCTGTTAATAAAAATTTGAATTTTATTGAGTCTCGTCAAATTCCTTCGGTTTGGAAAATCATTTAGTTATATAATTGAACTTATATACGAGTAGAGACCAAAAACCGCGCGAAATTCGAGTTTTCCTTCGAACAAAACAGTAGTTCACGGCCTGACTGGAGTTCACGGCCGTAAACTCGTTTGCGGTCAATGTCAGGTGGACCCCACCCACCGACCACGAAACCCTATATATATGAGACCCCCATCCTCATTTGAACACTTTTGACCAGAAACTCCCTCATTCTCTCTCTAGAACCCCTGGCCGTAAACACCAAAAACACCCTCATTTCTTCCGAAGAATCATCAGGAAACACTTCTGGAGGTTGTTTAGGAGCATCTAAAACACGTTTTCGTCGAATCTAGCATCCTTGTTCTTGAGTTTACGGCCGTACACACTTCATATCTTCAAATCTTCAAAGGCCGTAAACCCGTTTACGGCCGTACACTCATCGAATCTTCAAAGGCCGTAAACCCATCAAGGAACTATTTACGGCCGTAAACCCCAGTTCACGGCCGGAAACTCTTCACGGCCGTAAACCCCTATTCACGGCCGTACACGCCTCGTAAGCAGTGAAAAGCTCATTTTCTCGATTCAATCAATTCCCGGTAACATTCCTTAACCGAGAACACAAGTGTTTTTCTAACACTTTACTTAACGGAATCGCTAATTTAAATGCATATATGTATTTATTGATATTAGGACTCCGTTAAGTGTCACGTACAACAACCCGAGGATCTTCGTTTCCAGTCGACATTTTCACACAACAACTGTGAGTTCATACCCCCTACGCTTTTATGATTTTTAATGTTTTCAGGGGGGAATACAAGCCAAACACAAATGATTTTTGTGAATCCAAACAAAGGGATTTCAACAAGTTAAAATGCATGCAATTAATACAGTTAAACTATTTCCACGTTTTACAAAATATTTAGATATTTTATCCCTTTTGTACTATGTTGAGCATAAGGGATGCTTTCAATTTGGAAATATAATTGCATAGTTTTCAGAACATCTTACAAACCAAGTACATAACTTTTCAATCAAACTATAATAGGTATAGTTTGGGGAATTCAATACATAGTTTATTTTACCGATTCAGATTACATTCATGGGTAACCACATAAACTATGACCGATTTAGTTTATGACATACATTACTACAAGAGAACAACATTTAATAATTATTTAAGTATAATTATTATCATATACATTATACATACAGAGTTCAATACAGTAGATCACTTCAGAACCACACGTAAACTAGTTAATACAGGATTGTGAGACCACTCTTCATTTGTACCCTTCTGGGTACTGGTAAAACCCTCAACGTTTAATGTAACCAGAGTCTCCTGGAGGGAGAGCGTGAGATTTGTGAATAGATCTATTCGGGACTGACAATCACACACCTAAACTGCTAGCTATAGTTAGGCAGGCATGCCTGCGGTGACAAATATCATACCATACGACGCCTGAAGAACGTCGCCGAGGTCATCAGTCATATCAAGCATGGTTATACGAACTCACAATAGTATAAACTAAGCATTTGTTTACGGGATTCCATTCTTCATTAGTTTTATTTTAAGTAATAAAACTACTATACATATTGGTGTTAGCCAGGGTTTTCATACTATACATACTGGTGTTAGCCAGGGTTTTCAAGCTATACATTACTTACATTACTGGTGGTATCCAGGGATTTCATACAAAAACTTTCATACAAAACAATACAATACAGCTGGTGGTACCAGGCATACATATAAGTACTTTCAGACACAAGAACAGAATTCAATAACAAACTTACAATTGGTCTTAGGGTTTAAGACTACTTTTTCATTACTTAAGTAAATATTGGATTTTCTTGGAAACATACAAACATTTTCACGGATTCATCAACAGGTATTCATTTCAATAACATGCTTATGAACTCACCAGCTTTATGCTGATACTCTTTCAAAACTACTTGTATTCTCAGGAAATCAGTAGACATGTATCACCTGGAGTTTTGAGAAGACATAACATTTAGAGTCACGTCTTTACATTTTGCTTATACTTTTGATGTATGCAAACAAGACTTAAACAGATGTAAACCTTTTTCA